CAGTGCCACTGGCAAAGGGGCCTTGGAGGCGGCGGGCGTCCTCCTTCATTCCGGTGCCTCGAGAAGGTAGGGTTTCCCAGTAGGGTCCCCCTTCCCCACCCGCCTCTCCCCTCCCCTCAGGGGCTGGCTCCCTTTCGCGGGGGAAGGGGGGGGCGGTGACCCTGACCCTGAGCCCTGGGACCTGGGGCAGTGACATCTCCCGGGCCCCTCCCAGCAGAGGGGACACACCCGCTGCCACTGACGCCTCATCCACCCTTAAATCCGCGCGGTGTTCCTTCCGCTGGGAAAACAGTGAGTGTCCTGGGCCCACACCTCCCGGGCCCCTTCAGTGTTGGTCACTGACATCCGGCGACAACATGTCCCATGACCAGCACTGGCTGGGTTCCGACCACGAAGGGGCTTTCCATAAATGACCTTATTTCATCCTCACAACAGCCTACGAGACAGAGACCCCCATCTTACAGATGAGGACGCAGAGGCTGAGAGGTTAAGTGATCTGCCTGAGGCTGCACAGCCAGTCACGGGGTGGGATTCGAATCCAGGTCTGATGCTGACCCCGTGGCCACGCAAGACCAGGAGAGGCTGTGGAGCCCGCGCTCCGGCTTCCGTGTGAGTCAGTGCCTCTGCCCCTGCTGGGGAACGCAGCACGCATGTGAGCAGGAGTGTCGGGCGCTCCTGGCCTCCGGGCTCTCTGCGCCCGTGTTATCGGAAGCCCTCGCTCGGAGGGAGCAGCGGCTGGTGCTGTCTGGTGTGGTTGCTGCTCTGAGAACTCCGCTGCCACAGCAGGTGGCCCCTGGGTCTGGCCTGCCGGCAGCAGGTAGCGTTTTCTGAAAGTCCGAATGCCGCGCGACAACAGTGACTCCGTGGACACCTGCCCGTCCCGGCCCGGGCCTTGCCACCCAAGGTCGGGCACCCTCCTCTCCGCCTTCTGTCCTGGGCATGAGCGGCACTTCCACAGACGGGGCACGGGGCCCCCGCGAGGTGGGCGCGCACAGGGAACAGCGTCGGGACCGAAAACCTGCCTCGATTCCCAGGAGGAAACGCTCGGTCCACGTCTGGCTGCCAGTTCACGAGCTCTGTGCAGTCTGGCTACCAAGTCGTGAGCTTCAGTGAATTCTCCTAAGGGCCAGCCAGGTGGACGGGAGAAAATCAAAATACTCGCTCAGGTTCCAGGGGTGAGAACCAGAAAGGGCTGCAGGGCACAGGAGGGGGGTGTGCAGGGCCCGGAAGCAGAGCGACAGCGGAGCCCAGCCTGAGCACGGCATCGCACACAACCGCCGGCACAAACCTGGCTGATGCCCGAGACCACAGCTGCACTTTATCACAGCCTCTCTCACAACCGCCAGCTCAGATCTAATCACTCACAGGCACAGATTCCTGAGGAAGAACAGGGGACAGAGTGTGTCTCTGTAGCTGCAGTCACATTCTTTAAAAAATAAAACTGGGTCTGTTTTCTAGATTTTTCATTCGTTCCAAGAAACCAGCGCCCTTATTTTCATATTCAGTACTGATTTCTCACTCTTCTCTGGGACATCAAAGAGCAGTGCACACATAGGGGGCGGGCGACTCCAGGCTCTGCAGGGCTGCTGGGGTGGGGGGTGGGGGGCGCGAACCCACCGGCAAAGGCAGGGTCTGCCCATGGCACCCTCCAGCTGACGGCGGAGCAGCCCTCAGCCCTCCTGCCTTCCCAGCTGATGCTCAGCCCAATGATCACAATCTGTCTGAATCCTGCAAATCTTTCTGTCTTCTTCTAATGTTCATTTACCCTCCGTGTGTCAAGTATCTATAATAATAAAAGGGTAATATGTCAATTAGACCCAACAACCTTCTGGACGAAGCGGGGGCTGCAAGGGAAGCCCGGGGCCGGTGCCAGAGGGAAGCCGGTGCCAGCAGGCGGGAGAAGGAAGGCCTGCTCTTGCATGAATTTCGTGCATCGGGCCTCTGGTTAAGCACCGTTGTATGCAGTGCTGCTCCGTGCTGCTAACCACTCTGTTGGTTGCCAGCCAGCAGCTAACAGCCCGGCAGGGAAGGCCAGGCCTCCAGCACCCTCACGCCGGAGGCCACAGGGCAGGGATGGAGACACAGGCCGGCCTCCCACGGCTGGTTTGGTCTCACAAAGCCCTCTAACAGGCCTGCGTCCGCACGGCGCTCGGGCTCGGGGCTGTGTGTTCCTTCTATGGTAACTAAAACGCCCGGCACGTGACAAAAAGACAGGATGGGTGACTGCATTACCTAAAAATAAAAATGAAGAAATTTTTAACTCCTGCCAAGATGGCAGAACGTTTGGAATCACAGTCTCTGCCTTGGGGACAGGCAGGCGTGTGTGAGCCCGGTGTCTACCAGCCGCGCAGGGCGGGGCCGCACGGAGGAAGCGAGTGGCACTCCCCCAGGGCTGGGTCCCGTGTCCTTCACCTGATCCTCAGCCTGAACACCAGTCTCCCCTCCTCCTGAGCCGCCCAGGCCTTTGCCAAGGGCACTCAGGTGGGGACCTCTGGCTGGGGGTCACTGTCAGGCGCACAGCCTTTCCCAACGGGCACTGTCCCCCGTGGGCACTGTCCCTCACGGGCACTGTCCCCCACGAGCACTGTCCCTCACGGGCACTGTCCCTCACGGCACTGTCCCCCGTGGGCGCTGTACCCCACAAGCACTGTCCCTCACGGGCACTGTCCCCCACGAGCACTGTCCCTCACGGGAACTGTCCCTCACGGGCACTGTCCCCCGTGGGCACTGTCCCTAATGGCACTGTCCCCCACGGGCACTGTCCCCCATGGGCACTGTCCCTCACGGGCACTGTCCCCCGTGGGCTCTGTCCCCCGCGGGCACTGTCCCTAATGGCACTGTCCCCCACGAGCACTGTCCCCCGTGGGCACTGTCCCCCGTGGGCACTGTCCCTAATGGCACTGTCCCCCGTGGGCACTGTCCCTAATGGCACTGTCACCCACGAGCACTGTCCCCCATGGCACTGTCCCTCACAGGCACTGTCCCTCATGGGCACTGTCCCCCGCGGGCACTGTCCCTCACGGCACTGTCCCCCGTGGGCACTGTCCCTCACGGCACTGTCCCTCACGGGCACTGTCCCTCACGGGCACTGTCCCTCACGGGCACTGTCCCTCACGGGCACTGTCCCTCACGGGCACTGTCCCTCACGGGCACTGTCCCTCACGGGCACTGTCCCTCACGGGCACTGTCCCTCACGGGCACTGTCCCTCACGGGCACTGTCCCTCACGGGCACTGTCCCTCACGGGCACTGTCCCTCACGGGCACTGTCCCTCACGGGCACTGTCCCTCACGGGCACTGTCCCTCACGGGCACTGTCCCTCACGGGCACTGTCCCTCACGGGCACTGTCCCTCACGGGCACTGTCCC